AGGCACTCTGGAAAACAGTATGGAGGTTCCTCAAAAAGTTGAAAATAGAGCTACCCTACGATCCAGCAATTGCACTAGTGGGTACAATCTGCACTAGAGATTTGCACTACATTTGATTTGTACATTTGCACTACATTACACTAGAGATACAAATGTAGGGATCCGAAGGGGCACGTGCACCCAACGTTTATAGCAGCAATGTCCACAATAGCCACACTATGGAAAGAGCCCAGATGTCCATCAACAGATGAATGGATAAGGAAGATGTGGTATATATACACAATAGAATATTATGCAGCCATCAAAAAAATGAAATCTTGCCATTTGCAATGACATGGATGGAACTAGAGGGCATTATGCTAAGCGAAATAAGTCAATCAGAGAAAGACAAGTATCATATGATCTCACTGATATGAGGAATTTGAGAAACAAGACAGAGGATCATAGGGGAAGGGAGGGAAAAATGAAACAAGACGAAACCAGAGAGGGAAACAAACCATAAGAGACTCTTAATCTCAGGAAACAAACTAAGGTTTGCTGGAGTTGAAAGGTGTGGGAGGGATGGGGTGGCTGGGTGATGGACATTGGGGAAGGTATGTGCAATGATGAGCACTGTGAATTCTGTAAGACTGTGAATCACAGACCTGTACCCCTGAAACCAACAACACATTATATGTTAATAATAAAAAAAAAAAATCAAGGATCACTTAACTGAGCCACCCAGGCGCTCCTCCTCGTGATATCTGTATAGACTATTAATTTTGAAGACATCTCAGAAACAGAGTTTTAGTTTTCATTATAAAGCACAATAATATTTTAATTAAGATTATATTAAAAGATTTAGGATCATTTGGGGTGCCTGGGTGGGTCAGTCATTAAGCATCTGCCTTCAGCTCAGGTCATGATCCCAGGGTCCTAGGATCGAGCCCCGCATCGGGCTCCCTGCTTGGTGGGAAGCCTGCTTCTCCCTCTCCCACTCCCCCTGCTTGTGTTCCTGCTCTTGCTATCTCTCTTTCTGTCAAATAAATAAATAAAATCTTAAAAAATATATATTTAGGATCATTTAAAATCCATTCTATAAAAATTTCTTGAAGGAACAAGGGAACAAGATTCATTTGAGACAAAGTAGACTTTTATTTTTTTTTTTTTACATATTGATTTAGCATTCCATAGAAAATCGTAATTCCATGGAATGTTAGATAACAAGTTCCTTTAAGCTTTTTTTTAAAAAAAGATATTCCTTCATGCCTTGCCAGAAATTGAAAGTTGTCGTTGCTCGGAGATTGCTGAAAGCAAAATGAAAGAGTTCCATCAAGTGGCCATATAAAGACATGGCAGTGCACATTTCATCAATAGGAAAAAAAAAAAAAATCTCTGAAACCTAGTTCAGACATACATTGTCAACCAAACTCCCAAAACTGTATACCATGCAACATTAAAAAACACTGTAGATATATTTTAAACATCATCATTAATGAATTTTTCCATATTATTAAACTGCATCAGAAATAGAGTCTACATTTTTTTTCTTGCTTTTATTTTATTTTCTGATACTGTGTACTTACAGTTTGGGTTTGAAAATACATGATTTCAATCTTAATTTCTATGTTATAGTAATCTGTTTAAATTACTTAGCAGGTACACCACAGGTTACACTAAACTAAGTTGGACTGTGTTGAAATTCAGAAACAAGCCATATGTAAATGAGCCAAAACATTTAAAAATTAAACCAAATACAAAGAGAATCAGGGTTTTTTAAAAAGTAGTATCAGTTATAAAACATAAGCATCAGTTACTTTAGGATATTAAAGAAACAAGTTAAGTTTTTCACAATACCTTGCCAAGTTACATCTCCCTTATAAAGGTAGACCAAATGAGCATCTCTCTTTACAAATTATAGATTTAAGGTGCTGCGTGTCCTTACCTCTCTACTTCAGAAAAAAATCATGGCTTAATTTAAGGCCATAAATTCTACTTCTAAATACATATTACAGATTAAGATTTGTTTCATACTCTATCAAGCTGTAGTCCACTGGGCAATCCTTTATAGTGTTTAACCAAATCTTTCTGACTATATGAAGTATCTCCCACTTCCTGTGAAAACAATGATATTACTATTGGGACAATGTTAAGTGATAGTTTTTTTTTATATTAAACCCATGAAATTTCATTAGATTATGTATTATCTAAACATAAAATTGGTAGCAGTGTGTATGATTGAGAGCATGGATTTGGGCATCAGAGAGACTAGATTTGAATCTAATCGTTGACACTTTTTTGCTCTGTAACCTGGAGCAATTATGTCTTCATGCATATAAGAAGAGGAAAATAATACTACTGATGTGGATATTGTAGAAATTAAATGTTGTACTCTTTATTGTACACTTAGATATAAAAGTTGACTATCATTAAAATGAATCACACTTTTTTTGGAAAGAATCCATTATAGTATCTAATCATTAGTAGATAGAAGTGGTAGAGAATTTCGCATACAATTTCACTGTATTTAAGAGTTTTACAAATATAAACAACTGAGGAACCCAAATGAAATAAGATAAACATACAGCTACCATAATAGCAACACAGTCATACTTTTTTCTCTGCGACTTTTCTCCAATCAATAATCTTCTATACCTGCATTTCCATTTCCATGAAAAGCCATAAAGAGGTTCACATAGTTACTCTTCTTTCTCTCCTTTGGACTTTGCATTGGTAATAAACAAGTCTGATTTAAATTTCTCACATAACGGCAATAACACTACTTCTTCTCAACATGGTAATACTGAACACTAAAGATGAAGAGAAGGAGAAAAAAATAATGAAGTACATTTAATAAAATATAAACAAGTATGGAATATAAGCATAGATTGTATAGGGATTATTTGTACTCTTCTTGCAAAATTTTTGTCTTTGAAATTATTGCTAATAAAATATGAGTAAATATAAAAGAGAAACCAAAGGGGCACCTGGGTGGCTCAGTCAGGTAAGCATCTGCCTTTGGCTCAGGTCCTGATCCAAGGGTCCTGGGATCGCCCAGCTTGGGCTCCCTGCTCAGTGGGGAGCCTGCTTCTCCCCCTCTTTCTGCCTGCCACTTCCCCTGCTTGCATTCTCTCTCTCTGCCAAATAAATAAATAAAATCTTAAAAAAAAAGAAAAACCAAAACAACCTTTAGTTGGCCTAAAAGTGAATAAATATACCACCGTTTCCCCATTTTTAAAAGAATTCTCTTATTTATGCAAAATGGAAAGTAACCACAGAAGGAAAGTTGAAGGTGTAAGAAGAAATGTTGAACAAAGAAAGTAGTAAGCATGTGCATAAATCTAAATACACACAGTCTGTGTGAAACAAGAAAAATGCCTAATCTGAGGACGAAGAAAAGACAGAATTAAAATATGGGACAACAATAAGTAAGGTGAGATAGATGGTGATTTGATTTAAAGAAAAATCCAGGTCCATGTGTTATACAAAAGGAAGTAGACACAGTGATTAATATAGACTTTAAGGTAAATACATCTGTTAAAGTTTTATGATAACTATTGCAAAGTACAAGGAAGAAATAGAATTCAAAAATAAAAGCAATTAAAAAAACAATTTAAAGGATGCAGAAAAGGTGATAAAATGAAGCAGAGGAGAAATATACAAAGAAGAAAACAAGAAATAATATAGTAATGAATTCAAATTAACAGTAATCCTAATAAATATAAATGGATTAACATTCCAGTTAAAGGTTAAACTGAAATAATTAATAAATAAATAAATAAATAAAAATAAATAAAATAAAATAAAATCCAGGATTATACAATTTCTAAGAGTCACACATAAATTTAAGGACGTAGGAAAACTGATAGACAAAGGATAGAAAGTTAGGTACATAGTAGTCAAAGAAAGCTAGTGTATCTGTATTAATATCAAACAGAGTATTCTTTAAGGCATAAAACACTAAGTAGAATAAAAATGCCCACAAAACAATGATAAATAACTCATTTACAGAAATGATTCTAAGCACTGATGCCTCTAATAACTTGCCATCAAAATATATAAAGCAAAATGATAAGATACATAGGATATCAACAAATACATCATTTTAAGAAATACACATTATTCCCAGATACACATGAAACTTGAAACAAAACTTGAATGTGTGGAGAAGTCATAAAGCAGTTACTTTTTCCAATCAAAATGCAATTAAGTTAAAAATGAAAAAAATCAATAACAAAGAATTTGCAGATTTGGAAATACAGGAGCATACTTAAAACACACCAGAAATCAGTAAACTCTAAAAACAGATTAAACAGTTAAGACATTAGAAAAAGAACAAAAGAATAAATCTAAACAGACAAAAAGAGAAAAAAATAGTGAAATAGTAAAGATACAAACAATTAACAAATCTATAGGCTAATTTTCATATATTTACTATATGTATGTTTAATCTCCCTTATAAATAAAGGATAGATTATCCTTTTACTCCTTTTTTATTCAAATACATATCCATAAATATTTGTAATTTTCCATTTTTAAATTTACACAAAAGATTTTGTCACATCTACCTTGTTTTACTTAATTTTTTACATTAAGTGATAATTTTGAGACCTATTTGATGGATGTATATGGAGGTCTAGTTTATTCCTTTTAACTATTACACAGTAATCTATAGACTAAAGTTTATTCATCCATCCCCATTTTGTTATCTACTAAAATATTCCAAAGAACATCCTAGGATTTTCCTGTATATCTGTGTTAGAGAGACTCTGAAGTGAAATTATAAGCTTTACAGAGAAGAGACATACCAATTTCACTAAATGTTAACAAATTAATTCCTTAAATAGCATTTATCAAGAAAACTTGATAAAGTATCTTTCTTCACACACACAAAAGTTTCCTGGACTGCTTCTTAGTGTCCCCACAAAAAGAAGAGTTGAAAAGTACTGAAGGTTTTATGTTTTATTCAACTGGTATAATCTCCTCCCTCATACCTTGATCATGCCTCTTAAAAATATAAAACTTAGGGGCACCTGGGTGGCTCAGTCAGTTAAAGGTCCAACTCTTGATTTCACTTCAGGTCACAATCTCAGGTTCATGAGTTGAGCCCCACATCAGGCTCCACGCTCAGTGGAGAGTCTGCTCGAGATTCTCTCTCTCCCTCTCCCTTTGCCCCTTCTCCCCCATGCTCTCTCTCTCTCTCTAAAATAATGAATCTTTTTAAAAAATAAGTAAATAAATAAAACTTAAATGAGACAATATTATACAGTACTGCTCCACTTTATTTGACTTTTAGAAACTTTCATTCCTAATTAGGTTGCTATGACATTGTGTGAGTGTGTATATGTGACTGATGTATGTGTGAACAGTCTACTACATGCAGGTTATACAAATATGATAAAGTATGTGAACTCATTGCCTTAGTATTTGCATTCTGTAAGTGCAAAATGACAGAGATGGTGTTCAGATATCATTTCATATTTGCATACCTTACAAAGTTTATTTCTACTTTGCAAAAATTTTTAACATTGGCATTTCTTGTACAGAGAACAGGTGAGCCTTACATATGATGACCATAAATTTTGTTTGACAAAGCAGTGTATTTTTGAGAGTAAAATGAACCTCAAGAATAAACCAGGACCTATCTTTAGGCATCCTGTTTCAAATACTCTGCTGGTTTTAATGGGAAAATATATCATGAGTTGTCATGAAGTTGGTAGACTCTAATACCCAGCAGGTATTGTGCCTGTCTTTTGCAGAGCTAGAGGGATTGTTGGCCCCCTTCCCATACATCATGATTGTTAAGAAAGTGACATTTGTCAAAATGAGCAAGAAGCTGCTGCCATAGAAGGAGCCCTAAGCAAGAATATGAAACAAATTGTTTCAGTTGGCTAAGAACCAGAGGGAAGACAATGATCAGAAGAAAGAAGTGTTCTTTTCTTAATTCCTCTTCCATATTTTACAACACATTTCATACTGGCCAGCAGTTGCTTATGCAGAACTCAGGCTGTTTTCTTTTGTTCTGAAACCTTATGTAACTTATGGCATTTTAAGAGAGCATTAACACAAAGTGCCTCCCACATTGCTATTCTATACCTGATTTAATCCTTTATTTGAACTGCCTCTTAACACAACCTGCACTTTCCTTCTTTTCCTGGTAAACTATTTTTAGTAATTGAAAAAGTGAGCGTGTATTGAAAATCATTGCCTTCTGGGGCATATTCAAATGCCTCTAACGATTCTCAGGTGAAATTGAGATCCTGGTAGGCCCAGATGGGTCCCCATTAATATCTTGGAATTTTATTTCAATTTTTTATTATCTTTCAATATGGCCCACAGCATGAATAGTTTACATATTCCAGTTTATATTCTTCAAGAAAATTGAGATAATACCAATACTAATTAAGATAATCCATTTTCCTATGTTGGGTGAGCAGTCTTCCTATTAAAGCCAATACAGAACCATAACTTTCCACAGGTAACTTATTTAAAATATCTTTACCAAAAAGGCAGTCAGATTTTAAATATATGACTGATGTTGAAAAATGCCAAATATTTTTCTTGTGAATACCCCAGCTAGGCACCGATATGTTGAAATATACCGATATAACTTTTATGCCAAATCTCATTCTTGTATTGTTCACGAAGAGATTTAGTATTTTAGTACAAAGACTTTAAATATCAAGTCCAATTGAGTTCTGATATCACACTTCTCTAGAGTTTCTAACTGCAGGATGAAGTTGTTCGTCTAAAAAGCACAGTCTGTCCTAAGCAGACGCATGCCATTAAAAAAAAAAAAAAATCACGTTTTCTTCTTTTAATTCTCTCACAGTATAGTGCATGAATCCATGTTTACTATAGTAATCACCCAAACTAATAAATGGGGGATTTTATCAGTATAGTAGTCACAGCGCTGCTCATTTTTTATGTACCCGGTAGTGGCTAGACTCATGTTTTATTTGAACCACATGGTCTACTGACCAGCTCTGTGATCTTGAGAAAATCACCAACTGCAATGAGTTATTCTGTCATCTTTGCTGCCAATTCATCTAGTTAGGAGAGAAAAACTAAGATGGTGTGTGTGAAACTCCTATAAAAACTGGAAGTGTGAGAAGAGAATAGATTTTTAGGCTTGAGAAGATAAATTATTTGCGGTTATTAATAGTGAAATCCTGTGATTTTGATCAAGAATGACTTGTTTCAGTTGGGACCCACCTTCTAGATCTTTATTCTCAGGTTGTGTGCAATTCGAAAATGTCTTTGATAAAAACTGCTGCCTAACGTGTCACCTGGTTTTCTTCCAATGCACAGAACTAAGAGCTTTTCAACAAATGGATTATGTGCACCATCTGTCCATTCTGTGTTGCATAGTAAATTTTATACTAAAAATGTCTTTTTCTTCCCACACCAGAACACAAGAAATTTGCTATCTTTCTTCGTCTGATGTATGACTTAATTTACTCTTTAATGTAAGTTGTTAATGGCTAGAGTTGTGTAAAATGTAGTTATACATAAACTATAACTTAAAAATCACAAAATCTGTCATTCCATTAATGAGGGATTGCAAATATTTCTGAGGTAGAAATTCAGCGTGGTTTTTGGATTTGTCTTTTTTGATTTGCAACTTCAACTGTGTGTAACACAACTGCAAACTCTGAATTTCATTAGATATCTTTTAAGTAAATATGATATGTGAACATATGTATATCTTATATCATTTTTTGCATAGAAAAGTTTCTCTAAACTTTTAAAGCTAACATGTCCCAGAAAGGTATATTTTTATATGTAGCCAGTTATAATTTGTTCAACA